TTATACAGGATGTTCGGCTGGCTGGACTGCTCTGACCTAGTAGAGAAAATGACAACAACAAAATAGCTGACACAGCAGTATATTTCAATTATACATCACCATTTATATGAAGATGAAGCTCATTTCGAAATATTGCCAGTCGTTTAAATATTATTCATTCCATGAATTACTCAATTTCATTGTCCATTTGCGTGAATATGGACGGTATGCTAACTGTCTATGGCACTTATATTCGCTAGATATGGCCGTTCACAATGTTGATGGTTCGATTTTGCCGTGACTGGGCATTTTCCATAAGAATGTGTTTTTTTTATGTTTCGGTTTCCACGAAAAGGGATATCCTGTAATGTTCAGATAATCTCGTGAGAACCAAGGGAAATAAGGTAGGAATTGGTGTTCTTGGCAATGTGTTCCAGAGCCTCGCTGTTCGTTGCATGAACGAGTCTTTGGAAAGAGATGTTCTGCAGGTCTCCAAAGTGACCACGAAGGGGTGCGAAGCCTCAACTCGACGGGTTAATCTCGCGAGGACTGCCAAGAGAGGAACAATTGTTGATATCACAGAAGAGCATCGTCCATGAAAATATCTATGCAATAGAGCTAGATCGCCAACTTTTCTACGGTGTTCCAGAGAAGTGAGTGAGTTTTTGAGCGAGGCATCACCCACGAGACGAATTGCCCTTTTTTTAACAGAATCTAACAGTTTCATGATATGTTCGGGTGCTGCACTCCAAATATGGAAACAGTATTCCAGGACAGGTCGGAGCTGTGCCTTATAGATCATAAGTAGCTGACTGAAAGTGAAATAGCTCCTGGCCCGAAACAGAAAACCAAGTTTTTGGGATGCACTTTTAGCAATTGATCTCACGTGATTTTCCCAAGGAAGGTTATTGCTGATAGTAATACCAAGCATCGAAATGGATGTCTTTAAAGATATGGATACTCCTGACAAGCTCATGTTGGGTACAGTGAGATCGGCTTTTCTAGAGAAAAGGCATGCTTGTGTTTTGTTTGCATTGAAATCTACTAAGTTATTGGATCCCCATTCGAGAATTGTTGCCAAGTCCATATTTATGTTGTCAACATTTCTTCCTCGTTCATTTCTGATTTGCCTGGCTGGTATTGGAGCCCTGGAAGAGGAGGCGGTATGGAGAGTACCATCATCCACGAAGCTGTATACTGGACATGCTTGTGTTTTGTTTGCATTGAAATCTACTAAGTGACTGGATCCCCATTCGAGAATTGTTGCCAAGTCCATATTTATGTTGTCAACATTTCTTCCTCGTTCATTTCTGATTTGCCTGGCTGGTATTGGAGCCCTGGAAGAGGAGGCGGTATGGAGAGTACCATCATCCACGGAGCTGTATACTGGACATGAAGTTGCTTCCAACAAATCGTTTATATGGCGTAGGAATAGTGTTGGTGCTAGAATTGATCCTTGCAGAACACCAGCATTTATGATAAGAGAGTCAGATGAAACTCCGTCGACCACTACATGGAGAGACCTGTTTGAGAGAAAACTAAGCTAGAAGAAAACATAGCTGGGGAGGCAAGCCATAAAATGGAAGCTTGGCGAAGAGTCCGTGGTGTCAGACTCGATCGAATGCCTTGGAGATATCAAGTGCCACGGCTGAAGTTTCACCATAGTTTTCAATAGATTGCTGCCATATATGTGACAGGTAAGCGAGCAGGTCACCAGTTGATCTCTGATGACGGAAGCCATATTGCCTATCATTGATATAACCTGAATGTTCCAGGTATTTCATGAGCTCGATGTTGATAGCTTTCTCCATGATCTCTGAAATAAAAGATAGCAGTGCGATCGGTCTGTAGTTGCTGGGTAGGGTCTTTTTGCCTTTTTTAGGAACTGGTTGTACTCTTGCTATTTTCCAATTGTAATCCTGGCAGCACCTTGGCTCTCTTGAAGTGGTTTGGAATACGATATAAGCAGTGGGTTCCGCTCTTCCTAACCCCGTATAAGTTTCGAGTTCTGAGAATAGGTTCCCAACTTCAAAGTAGCGATATACAAACAAACAAACTCCAAGGAGAAGAATGTATTCAAAGCAACTTTCTATCTATTCAGTTGTTCACTTTACTGAATGACGATACGTGCATAAAAAACAGAAAAAAAGAACATATGGAAGAACAAAAAATTGAATATCTGTATGGAACTGAATCGTTTCCCGGAATACTAATAATTGGCGGAAGAGCTTGAGAGAAGGAAATTTCGCTTGTATATAATCAATGAACACCTGGTGCTGGATTAGATGAATCTAACTTTGGTGGAACAATAATCAATGAACGGTATTTTTCAACATGCGATGTCTGGTGGACTGATTACTCGATTATTCACAATGTAATCAGAAAAAAATCCGGAGATAAAATGACTGATTTCGTACCATGAAATGAATGTATTTGTGTACTGAAAAAAATCTAAGAAATGGAGAGAGAGCTTAATGCATCCACCTATTTCAACTAAGACTTTAAAGCATGCACGTGAAAAAGTTGTCAGTACAAGCTGAAGACGGATTTTGCAACAATTAGAATATCATACAGGACCTGAATATCAATAGTACCTGAATCATTTTCCACAGCAAATTGGAATAATAGCTATTGTCTTCCAGCGCATTCAAAAATTAGCCATTCGAACTGATTTGTGTAAATGTGAAATGAGTCTCTGAACTGGATCCTTAGTGATTTCTTTATATGAGTTTTGTTTGGGCGACGCGTTATTCCCGATATCAGTGTAAACGAATAAAAAAAAATCGAATGAACATCATCAAGATAGACGATTTTTCAGATCAAGACTATGTTACAGCGTCAGATAGCCTCGAGAAGAATCTGATGTCGGTAAGTATACTTCTGCATACTTATGAAAATTCATCAGATCGACTCATTGCTATATTATCCAATATTGATTTAATGGCTGATGAGGGGCTGTTATTTCGAAAAACTTAAAGATATGGAGGAAGCGCCTTATGCATCCACCAATTCGAATAGAGGTCCAGAGTATGAACGTGACCAGATATATTCCATATATAGACGTATTTTGATTGAGTATCATCCACGACCTGGATATTTATCGAATTGTAGAGTCCCCAACAATGATTGAGAGCCACTATTATGAAATCAACATTCCATATTTTGTATGTGTACAGATTGTTTATCGAATAGTTACATTTAGGAGTATCAAGAGAAGACGGCATTTGGCAACATTGCAGTCACGGAGTTTCGAAGAGCAACGCTCACTGTTGAAACGCATAAAGAATTTCAGTTTCAATCATGTTCAGATATTTCAGCGGAGACTATCGAAGACGTACGATATTACCATTCACATGCCCCATATGTAACGGTTCAGCAATCAATCAGATAATTATCTGTTATATGATGGTGATATTTTGGAAGGAGCCAATTCAGTCTCGCCTGTTACTCCTTGAATTCTTTGTTGAAGTAATGTCAGGTCAGATGATCATCAATCTGGAGAACTTGAACTACACGGCACTGTTGTAGTTGATGAAGTTCATATATATCAGCAGTCAATCTTTGTTCAGTTATTCGCAGTAGAGAAATTTCTTCACCTTACTTCATTAATAATCGTTATATGATGCCCATTTTATCAAGGTCTGTAATCGGCACAGAATACAGGAGATACATCGTAACCTATCTTCTTATCATTGGCCTGTCATGAAAACATTTTCAATTTTAAAAGGACATATTTATGTTGTCAACATTTCTCCCTCGTTCGGTTCTGATTTGCTTGGCTGGTATTTGAGCACTGGAGGAGTAGGCGGTATGGCGGGTACTATCATCCGCGAAGCTGTGTACTGGACATGAAGTTGCTTTCAATAAATCGTTGATATGGCGTAGAAAAAATGTTGGTGCTAGAATTGATCCTTGCGGAACACCAGCATTTATGATAAGAGAGTCAGATGAAAATCCGTCCACCACTACATGGAGAGACCTGTTTGAGAGAAAACAAGCTAGCAGAGAACATAGCTGGGGAGGCAAGCCATAAGATGGAATGTTGGCGAGGAGTCCGTGGTGCCTTGGAGATATCAAGTGCCATGGCAGAGGTTTCACCATATTTTTCAATAGATTGCTGCCATATATGTAAGACGCAAGCGAGCAGGTCACCAGTTGATCTCTGATGACGGAAGCCATATTGCCTATCGTTGATAATACCTGAATGTTCCAGATATTTTATGAGCTCGATGTTGATAGCTCTCTCCATGATCTTTGAAATAATAGATAGCAGTGCGATCGGTCTGTAGTTGCTAGGTAGGGTCTTCTTGCCTTTTTTAGGAACACAACACAATTATAATTTTTTTCTCAAGGGAAGCTGTGTTTCTCATCTATCAGATTCTCATTTGATGCATTCCATGACATGTAAATGGCAAATCACCCACAACCACACAAGTACACAAGCATCTAGCTAGAACAGCGAGTTCTCAAACATCGTGGTCAAGGGGCGTCACCCACAACACATGATATTTCTTTCTTCTTTATATTGGGAAATTAGAACTACTACGAATAAAGCGATAGCTTAGTGGTCTGTGTATCTGAGTTCTAATGTAGTGACTGGGGTTCAATCCCTGCGAGAAGTCAATTCTTTTAAAAATTTTTTCACTCAATTAATTTTTCAAAAATATACTACTTAGGAAAATGGTTAATTTAGGACAAGTCAGGTTGAAAGTACTTCCCTTTTTCATGCAGAAGAGATATGTTTCCTCCTCATATCACCTTATGAGTCTTATAAACACGAATAACCTTCTGATAACCTTGACGTTTGAAAGATTCGCTGGTCTAGCTAGACGCTTGTCACAATAAGTATCGCCGCGCAAGAGCAATATTGGACATCCTTGCCAACCGAATAACGTTATAAGATATTGTATTTTCCAAATAAGGAATGAAAAGACTATATGTCCCTAGGAGGAACAATAGAGAAAGAGTAAAGTCATTTTCCAGAGAGTGTGCGAAATGTGGTTATTATTGTTCAAACATACCTCCATCGTATCCCTATGACACTTATGAGTACCATTGAAAATCTCCCTCTGCCTATCGTCACACTGGTTCACATCGATTTTAACGAAAACGCCTACACTTCTACCTGAAGTCTTCAATACAAAACAGTAAACCCAAGTCCTCAGATAATCACAGTCTTTGAATGCTCTGCCCCAACCGCTCCTGCTCATATTCAGAGAAGTCCAAAACACTTCCGTCTCAACCGTGCGGTTGGGAAAAATCTTGAGCCTCTTGGAAACGTTGAGCGCTAGAGCGTACTCGTTGCTAGGGGACATAGCAGCTACCCCTAGCATGGCCCCGTTCTCCAGAAACAAGTCCCTGGCTACCGAAGAGAAGTTCTCACTTCGCGACAGTCTCTGGTCTATGGTTTCTGCTAGCTTGGTGATGTTCTGGTTCAGTCTGGCGGGAATGGTTGGATGAGAAAGAACTCTGCTTTGGCATCGGTCATTCTGGACGGAGTTATCGGCTCGAGCAGTGATCAGGAGTAGAAGAAGAATTAGGTTTTCTTTCATGCCGTCATTACTTCGGGCGTTTCGGAGGACATCTCGAGAAAAACCTGGAACAATAAGATTCGGTGCATATACTGAATTCAATGTCTTTTGGTCAAATTGATTCACTCTGGTTCACTGGAAAAATAGTCGGTAGTAAATACCAAACGTTCAGTTAAATAGGCGCCAGTCACTACATTCATCTGATAATACCACTACAAAACTGTATATACAGGGTGTTCCAGATTCAAATGTACATACGATACTTGCAGATAGAGGACACTTTGATGGTTCCTAAACACGTCTCGTTGATGTGTCTACCGTCATTCATAACTGAGATACAGGACGTTATCTTGAATTTGGCGAAATCTTCATCTGGTCATAATATCGAGAATTATTTTTGAACCACTTTGTATAATGTATTCATACTTTGTAGAAATATCCCACTTATATGACACATCGAATCTAGATGAAAATAGAGATCATAATCCATTATTTCGAAAACAACACTCTGTGTGGTAACATTTCGTGAATCTGTTCTGATATTTGGGAAGAGCGGGAAAAAAATGAATAAAGTGAACTACTTTTCACGAGCGCGCATCCCATTTGACATATGGTTTATTATTATGTTTTGAAATATTCAGCTCCATTTCGAGACATTTTAATTGAACTCGTGATTCAAAATACAATTTTGATACGAAAAAATAACATTCTTCAAAATTCAACATCAGTAGAGTCAAATTAGGTGAACTATTGATGGATTTTGTTATTGACCTTAGAAATTTTCGAGGACTCATTTTATTCTTCACCATAAGCTGTGGAAAGTAGCCTGTGGAAAAAAATTGAATTCTCACAGTTCATTATCACAAGTGTGATATTATTGGTGAGCTTATGAAGTTGAGGGATAATTATAAACACTTTGAAATTTAACAATCGAATATACAAGCAACAGTAATTATTTTAACGTTACCAATAATATAACACTAGTGAACTGTCAGAATATCAGTATCATTTACACAGCCTACTTTACTGCAGCTCATGAATCAATAGTGAAGCAAGGAATGAGCCCACAAAAATTGCAAACAACACAGACAAAATATTCTGTCAAATGAACGAATCTATCGATAGTCAACCTAATTTGACTCTGATGATGTTGATCTTTGTAGAATGTTATTTTTTTGTGAAATAATTGGATTTTGAATTAAGAGTTCAATAAAAATGCCTCAAAATGGAGCTGAGCATTCCAGAAAATAACAATGAAACATCTGACAAATCGGATGCGCGCTGTTAAAAAGGAGGTCACTTCATTAATTTTTTTCTGCTCTCTCCAAATATCGAAACAGATCTACAAAATGTTGCCATTCATGATGTTGTTTTTTAAATACAAGAAGTTTCCTGTTTTCTCTCGAGACGAACCTGTATTCTGATCCCGAATTCCATTTTGTTTTGATGGGTAGTATAGGTGAAATATTCCTACCCCGTATGGATATATTATACAGAGTGGTGTTCGAAAGGTATGACCAAATGATTTTGACAAAATTAATATAACGTCCTGTATCTCAGTTAGACGGTAGACACATTCGAGGGGGTGATTTGGAACCATCAAAGTGTCCTCTATCTACAGGTAGCGTATGTACATTTGAATCTGAAACACCCTGTATATATAATACCAAATATGACCACTACAATATATATTATTTGAGACTTATAGTATAGTATGATTCGATTTTTTTGTGGTATTATCTGATGAATGTTGTAACTCGCGCCTATTTTACTGAACGTCTGGTATTCACTACCGACTATTTCTCTGAGTGTTGACATAATATTGCGAGTAATTAATACATTGAAATGAAGAATCCACTGACATTCAAATCTTCATTCTGTCTTGGTATACAACATCTCTTTCGTCTTTCGGGCGTGGCTTTCAGTTCAAACTGGCTAGAAGTCGGGCTGAACTGTTGTCTTTTTCAGTCAGTTCAAAAAACGCTATCTAGATCAGTTTTTTAAATCAGTGTACGTTGAGCTATAAGTGAAATTTCAAGTATTCTGACGTTCATACGCATACCAATAATTTTTTTTATATAATGTACCTTTCAACTTTGTAGTTGGAGAACAACACTGAGAGAATAGATAGGTATTTTCCATAGGTATCATGACAAAGAATTGTTATTATGAATAGTTATAATACTTTCATATCTCTATATTTTTAAAATTTCACTCCTGGTGTCAATAAATGAAATTACTTGTACTAGGTATTTCGATATATCTGTAACGAATACAAATGAGATTATTTTCCTCAGAATGTCACTGCGCTTAAAATATCACTATTGAGAAGCTGAGTTGAATTTTAGTCGATAATTAGTGACGCCTTGTCATACATTTTTTTTATCGCTTGGAGCGCACGAAAGGGAATCCCTATAATGTTCAAAGAACATCGTGCGTTCCTAGGGAATACTTCCTCAGGTAATGAATTCCAGAGCCTAGCCGTTCTATGGATGAAGGAGTTTTGATAAAGTGCTGTTCGACATTTTTCGAGGTTGACAACGAAAGGACGTGCTGACTGGGCTTGTGTAGTTAGTCTGACTGGTATTGCTAGTGAAGGGATGATAGCAGAGATTTCCGAAGAACATTTCCCGTGGAAGTATCGATAGAAAAATGAAAAATTGCCGACCTTTCTACGGTGTTCCAATGATGTCAAAGAGTGAGTGAGTGTGGCGTCACCCAACAGGCGGATGGCTCTTCTCTGGATGGAATCTAAGAGCTGTGAAGTAGCTTTTCGCTCGGAACAAGAATCCGAGTTTTTGTGAAGCAGCTTTTGCGATGGATCTGACATGATACCTCACAAGAAAGAGTGTTGCTGATGGAAATACCGAGCATAGATATGGTGGGCTTAGTGGGGATGGTGGTGCCAGACATTACAATATCGGGCAATACTGAGTTCCGCCTTTCTAGAGAAAATACAGGCTTGAGTTTTGGTGGCGTTGAATTCAACTAGGTTTTTGGTTCCCTAGGCTGTGATTTCAGCAAGGTCTTCATTGACAGCATTGACCTGCCTGCGCCGTGAGTTCTTAGTTTCCTGAGAAGAAATGGGAATTCTGGAAGATAACGCAGTATGGAGGGTACTATCATCTGCAAAGCTGTAGATGGGGCAAGTTGTTACTCCCAACAGATCATTGATATGAAGAAGGAGTAATGTTGGTGCCAAAATTGATCCTTGTGGAACGCCGGAATTGATGCCAATTGTATCAGACGATACACCGTCCACCACCACATGAAGCGATCTGCCTGAATCTCTTCTCATCTCTGGAAATTTCGTAAACGAATCTGATTCTGGTTTCAACATAAAGAATGCTATAGATAATTATTTGAATTGATGTTTTTTCTTTCGTTTTTTCGATACTCTTCCATGAAAAGAAATAATACAAAAATCATTAAAAAAATATTACGACCGAAAAAGGAGAATCAAAGAATCCGTTTGCATTCTTCTGAATGGAGACGATATTATAGTGTGTCCCGCTTTCCATGAATACACCCTAATATCTCAGTTATTAATAATGCGATTTTCTTCAAATTTTGGTGGTGATTATATGTTAGGTAAATGAAGTATTTTGGCATAGTGAACATTTTCATCGACCATAGGCGTGCGGTGTGGGGGGGTAAAAAAAAGCTGTTTTTTGGGAAAAGGATATTAGGGCTCATTTTAGATAACTTTTTTTATCAGAATTAGAATCAGCATTCCCAAAAACCCCCCAATCCATATTTTCAAAATCTCAAGAGCTGATTTGAGCAGAAAAAAAAAATAAATTCACTTTTTTCGTCAATGCACCCGAATATCTGTTATTAGCGATTTTCTTGAGATTTTGGTGGTGATTTTATGTTAGAAAAATTAAGTATTTGGCATAGTGATCACATTCATTCACCATTGGCGTGCGAAGTTGGGGGGAGAAAAAAGGCATTTTTTGAGAAATGAATATTAATGCTTATTTTAGACAACTTTTCTCATCAGATTCAGAATCAGCATCCCCAAAAATCCCTCAATTTATATTTTCGAAATCTCAAGAGCTGATTTGAACAAAAAAAAAAGTTCAAGTCTTTTTTTTAATAAGTTCTTTATTTGTAACAGTGGTAACAAAATTACGAATTACTTTATTTTAGATTCTTGTGTTTTCAACATAACTACCTTCTGAAACAATACACTTTTCAACAATTCTTCTCAAACGTACATTCACTTTTCTTAAAGTTTGGGGAGTTATTTCCTGACACGCTTGCCTAATTGAAAAGCAAAGTTCCTCTCTATTACGCGGCCGAGTAGCATACACTTTATTCTTCAAATGCCCCCACAGAAAAAAATCACAAGGGGTAATATCTGGCGATCTAGGGGGCCATGGTTCTAAAGGAGAATTTCTACCTATCCACTTCATAGGGAAAATTGCATTTAAAAAGTTCCGAACTATCCAAGAATTGTGTGCGGGGGCACCATCTAATTGAAAGATTAAGTTTTGTCTTTGTGCTAATGGCAATTCCATGAGAAAATCATGGAGACCATTTTGTAAAAAATTTACAAAATTTTGTCCAGTCAGGTTATCCAGGAAATAAGGGCCAATAATCCGTTCGTTGAATATGCCACACCACACGTTAACTTTTTCACTGTATTGGTTTTTACAATGAATTACCCAATTCGGATTTTCAGCTGCCCAAAACCTACAATTTTGACTAGACATCACACCGTTTGTTGTAAACGTTGCCTCGTCAGTAAACATCATGTTCTTCAGGAAAAGTCTGTCGTTAAGATAGTTACCCTGCAACCATAAGCAAAATTCAAACCGTCGTTCAAAATCACCATTTAACAGAGTATGTAGAAATTTTGGTTTAAATGCCCTAATCCTGTTGCGTTTCAAACATCTCCATACTTTGTTTTTCGTTAAATTCATTGTCCTCGCAACTGCCCTTACAGTACCATTTGGGTTGTTTCGAAATTCTGCTAGGATACGTTCGTGTCTGGATAGTGTCTTTGATTTAAATTGTACCTCCCTGGTCTCATTTTGAAAACCGCTCCAGTCCTTGCGAA